CTTCTGAAAATGAAATTTGTGCACACATATACTACATGATGAACGCTGTCAGTATTTTTGTAAAGAACTGCTGTAATGTTGTTTTCATTACCAATATTGTCTTTTTTAGGTGCTCGGCCGAGGTTTTCAATTACTGACCGAGATAAGGCAAGAAGAAGAAGCTGCGAATAGGCAGTTAGATGAAGTGGTCAGCCGATGTAATCATGCCAACGTCGTTTGGATACGGTTCGCTCGCTTTATAAATTTAGACAGTGATCGAAAATTTCTTTTTTTGTTTTGATAGCCTTTTTTGGCGTTGGTTCATTTAAGAGGGAGAAGCCTTTTTTCTGTCTTAGGAATGCTGGAATATGGGCAGAGGTCGGGTCCGGAATGTACCCCGAACCCGCATCCCCGCTTACAGGTGGTCGTGTTATCCATTACGCTACGGGGCCGCTCTTACCCTCTCAGCTCAGTGGCATTTCGTGCCATAACTGTCAAAGCACGCATTGCTGCGTTAAACAGCAGTTATCTAACCAAAACAACCTTTTTCAGTTGTTTTTCAAGTATCGGGCTTTCTTGCAGCCTTGAAAAGTAATGTAAGAATTTGAGTCCGCCTCCTTGTAACAAAAAAGTGTTTCTCCTGAGGTTATGCTGCCTGAGAATGAGTAATATGAGCTAAGAGTGCCGTTGCACGGAAGAAGTTAACTCACCTCAAAGGTTCTCCGCTTTCAAGATGACGGAAAAGTTTCATTCTCTCTCCTTTTCACCAACCTGAATGCAGCCCAAAAAACGAAGAAATCTCCTGGAACTCCACCATTTCGCAGTTTGTCAAAAACCTAGGGCTCTGAAAAAACTGGCTCGTCCCGTTGCTGAGAGTTACAAGAGCTCTCTCCCACCTCTCAGCCGACTTGACCACCTGAACATCTTCGTGTGGACATATTCTAGCCGGGAACTACCCTCACCTAATTTATCTACTGTAGATCATTAGAATGTTGCGGTTGAAGGAAAAGTTCACTAGTTTGTTCGAGGGAAACCTGTAGATTGCAACGGTTTTTGTTACAGTCAGAGAAAGTAACCCAATTGACATATACCATATTGAAGACCGAGTCGGGAACTTGCGTTATCTTGCGGGCAGCCTAATATTCATACTCCCATTTAAAAAAGTAGCAGTCACAGCATCGTTTTTATCGATTCTGTATCGTTTTTTTTCAGGCATGTGAACTAGATGAAAAAGCGCGTGACATCAGTTTGCTGAGGGATCCCGATAGCGCTGATTTCTATAAGTGCCTTTCATATCAACTTTTTCGTCCAGTGTTCGCTCTTTTAGGAGAGAATCAGGTAGGAATAGGTGCTTGGGAATGCTTGTTGATGAGTTTTGATGGGACGGCTACATTGACTGTTTCAGAAAAGCATACCTAACAATTCTGAAAATCTACAACTCAAAGTGGGAAATATCAATACGCAGGAGATTATCAACAAGGTTGACTCTTTCTCCGTCATTGTTTACAGATCTGCTCTACTTTTTTGTCTAGATGTGTAAAGTGACTTTGTTTGCGTTTTCTTTAGCGAGACGACCGAAATGGATTAGTCGTTGGGAGGTCAGAGCAAATTATTTGCCACCAAGATCAACTACAGTTCTCACGATCAAATGATCAGGGAAGTGCCTCCGTGCATTTAATAGCTAGGTTTGCACCGCATAGATTGTACCAATTTCGCCTCTCGAGAAGGTTAGGTAAAGCAGCTGCAGGGGCGTGACCCTTGCACACTTTGTTCTTTCAGTCTGCAAAACAACGACTTGCATGGTGAATTACGTGCATGCATTTTGTTGTGCGCAGCGTCGTGGGACGATTTCATAGTTTTGTCGCAGAGAATCTTAGCGTGCGATTCTTCGCTTACAAGTTGCGCTGCATGCCCAGGATAGTAAGTCAAAGTGTGCAAAAGTCACGCGCCTGTAGCAGCCTTATCTCGCCCTTTCGAGAGGCGAAGTGGCACACCCTATGCGTGTGCAGGCGTAGATATTAAAATCACGGTGGCATTTCGCTGGCCACTAGATCGCGGGAACTATCCTCAAAGAGTCGTAACTATAACTTCGCACATGGGATTCAGAAAGAGAGGAGTCTGAATTGGTGCTCTCTAAGAGCTAAGTCAAAATTTAAATAATTTGGTTTACTTGGTTCACTATTCAGGTTGGATCATGGGGATCAAACATCACCTCTTCGTGCCATGACCTTGGATCGGAAGCTCTAACAAGGACAGTATCAAAACTACGACCAGATGAAGCTTGGGATGCGAAGACACCTCCACCCACAATTGGGTGCGATGCGGTACCTATTATTGTTCGATTTTATATAGCGCGATATCATATTTTTATTAGTCTTGTGCTGAAACCAAAGAATATTGCCTTTTCAAAAGTTTTTTCCTGCTGCTTCATCACGTACATCTGCACGCCAATCTTCTGAAAAGTCGGCTTATATTTGAATTTTTAGGTTCTCGATCTGAGCGTAACTCCTCGTGAAGTGCCTTTATTCTTCTTATCGGCATTCAATAATTTGTGGATGAATTTTATTCTGGAATGCATGTAAACCGGATAACTTCACGTTGTTGAAACCTGGCGAGTGTGATCCTGTTCCCCTTGCTCAGAAACGGTAAATTATTATACTGTGGCTTGCACTTTTTTTAATTTTTTAGATATTATCTTCCACGGTTAACCCTTGCATGGGTTTACCGTTTTAGCGCTGCATATACCTTGCGGAAGCAAACTTTTGTTTTTTTTGTTTTCATTTTTTTGATCGATCTGTATACTTTCACACGGTTTTTAGTTCACTTCATGCGCTGCTGCGCGTAAAATATTTGTAAAAAAAATGGGGTAATCATTCATTGCACAAATGGGCTATATGTCTGTAACCAGTGTGATGAGTTAGCATTGAGGAGTTTCCCTAGGTGGGTGGAACAGTTGTCAGTGAGCTAGCACTTTAAGGTGATCCCGACAAAGGAGGCGAAACTACTTTGAAACGTTATGTCGTTATTGAATAAACGGTCTCACCAAAAAGCCCGTGGGAGACGCAGAAACTCCTATCATAATATTTACGCCCAGTGCCATTGCACTTAACGCTTGCCCTGACTCAACTGTGTGCATTTTTGGACAAGTCGTCGTTGAGATTCCCAAGCGGGGAGAGGTCCAATTGCTTGCCGGCAGCGTTCTTACTTGCGGCGGCGTCCACCAGCGATCATCAGCGTTTCGAGCGTCCGTAAGTGCCAGCGACTAGGGAAAAATAGATGTCGATCTAGCGAACGGCAGCGTGCTGAGAGTGAGGAAGTAGGAGGGAGCAGACAGCTTGGACTAGAATTGGAAGTATAGGTATCGATCTAGCGTCTGCCAGCGTTCACCAGCGACCGGGACTAGAGAGAATGGGGAAGTAAGAGCGTAGCAAGCAGCTGGATTAGGCGTCGTGAAATCGCGGCTTGTACAAATGCACCGTGCAACTGCTGTAGCACAGAATTATGCAATTTAATGTACGGTCTTGTGTAGTAGAACGGGGCGGTTACACACGCTACCATTTCGCGACGCCTAATGCAGCTGTCTGCTCCCTCCTACATCCCCATACTCTCCACTATGGATGGAGGTCTTGGAGGACGCTTCGCAGAGTATGAACGCCTGATGAAACTTCCATATGATCACACGAACGATATGATACGTCCCGAAACGACACCAGTTCCCTTCTGAGTGGCCGCGTTGCACGGAGCAGTTGAACCATTTCAGTCAGGATATTTTCTGCTACGCCAAAGTAGTCCCGAACAGCTAGGAAGCCTACGATCGGTTAAAAACGCATCGAAGTGTTCATCGGCCTTTGGTGTTGTTTTGACCCCCTTTGCCTTCCGCTCAACGGATAGACGGATATCGTAAGGTGGGGTAGGAGGAGCGAAACAATCCCACTGTAACAATTATTCATAGCTCATCAGAAATACGTTTGCATAGTTCACTTTTCATTATCCACAATGTATCCAAAGTAGTGGTTTTCCATTTTTTCAGTATTCAACGACAGAAGGTTCTCCGCCGGGACACCGTGAAGAACAGTGTCTCCCATCTTCGTCAGAGAAAAACTCATCGACAGTTATTTCACCTCGAGTGAAGCGCTTACCGAATAGGATAGTTGTTCATCGGATTCTTGCTCTGAATTCTCGAGAGTCTGCTTTTCGTAGTGCTAGAGATGTGCTGCTCACATGCGAGGATCTCTTTTGCATTGGCCATCGTCTGTGCTCAAAACGTAGTAAGACGCTGTTTTTTTTTATCATCAAATCTACTTATTCACATCGGATCTACTTAAGATGTCCGGATAAAACGCTCTCATTTACTGAGGATGGTCAGTGATGCGTTAGAGAAGATCGATTTGGTACGTTCCTGAGCATCTCACTTTCTTTTGCACTGCTTCATACCCTTTTTTGATTTTATCTTTCTCTTTCGCAGGACCCAAATTATTCGGCGAGAATCAGTTATGATGAATACCCTACAGATTACTGGGATGTCACAGATATGCGTGATGTTGAGGAAATATTCGATGCTGTAAGCACCTTTTTCCCTTTGTTTTTAAATTGAAGCACAGTTTGCCGCGATCAGTGACCCATGAATTGCCACCATGCACTTGGCATGGTTGATCGCATTCTCAGGGAATGAACCACTCCAGTCGCTCGAAACGGCAAGATAGAGAAGAACTGCGTGATTATTGCAACTATTGTAACCACGATTACTCCACTCTGCAAGATTACGGCTTACAAGCGGAATTGCGCGAGTACATAGCGTTGCGTAGAGCGTCGTAGGGTGATATCCTGTGCTCTTGCCGGGAATCGGTTGCACGTCGAATCCTGCTGATTGGGCTTGCGACGTCCG